TAAGGCAATCATCCTAGGTTTCCAATAGTCATAATTAGAGCTATCTAGAATTGGTGGTCTATTCATGAATCCTATGTCTTTATCCATAGTACCAGAATTTATCTTCCCTAGATCTCACCCAGAAATTAACAGGCAGGGTGTCTGCTCTGATGCCAATTGTAATTCTGGCAAGCACACGATGGATGTTATTACCAAAGTTATAACATCCACTGTGACATTGACTACTGTACTAACTAATTAAACTGTAAGTAAAAGCAGTAAATAACACAACAACTATTCACCTAGTTCAGTGTCAACAACATCTACATCTGGGGGCTACCAAGCCAGGGAGGAAATTCACCATCAGCAGAATTAATTCAGAGTTAAACCTCCAGTTTACACTCCTCACTTAAAACCTACCCAATGACACTTCAACCTAGAGCCACTCTAGACCTGAGTATACTCACTCGCTCCCCCTCAATCACACCACAGTGATATCAAATTACAATTACAGAATAAAGATGAAGAAACACTTCATACACACCTTGATCTTGCTTCAAAGCTTTGATCAAGGGACATACACACTCTTGCTTAACAGCTTTGAGTGAGACACAACTTAGAACCTACCTAACCAATGCAGCAGACAGTTGCTTGGTAAACAAGTATTCGTAAGACTCAATTCCACGTGAAGAACACACTTTCTTCACTCACAATACTCACGTGAAGAACAACCTTCTTCACTCACAAGGACTCTCTATATGCACTCTCTGATCTTCTGTCAAGAGCTGCTCTTCTAGGATTGTTCCTTCTGATATTTATAGTAGCATTCATTCCTTGGGCCTGGGTGCACACAGTTAGGTTTAATCAAAATAAACCCTACTCTTCAATCATCTACACGCTTGCCATTTAATTCAGGAGCATTTGTTTCGCTTTAGGGCTACTTAAACGTTTCCTGACTTCTAGCTTGAGCTTCTGATTTGTTTCCTGATTTCTAGATACCAGAAAAACTAACCTGCTCGCTGGATGTCATACGGTTAGTGTCATGACATTCTGTATGACATTCAACTTAACTTATAGTTAACTTACCCTGCACACACATCATTATATATGTCTTAACATTCAGTATGACATACATTCAAACTCTAATGTTTTGCCATAAAATGCATCCAATCAAGAGAACTTACATCAACCAAGTTGTACAATTCAACATATACTGGCAGAGGCGCTTGGCAGCCCAGGCTAAAGCACAACATGTCTTTTGAAGCATTGAGTATTGAGACTCACAATCGGTAAACTTTTTGCTGAAATAATAAATGGAAAATTCTTTTCTTCCAGATTCATCTTGTTAACCCAGAACACAACCCATAGACTCTTCTAGCATGGTCAGATACACGATCAAAGGTCTTCCTTTCGTGGGAGGAGACAAAATAGGAGGTTCGAGCAGATACTCTTTAATTCTTTCAAAAGCTTTCTGACAATATTATGTCTATACACAAATCTAATTCTTACTGAGAAGCTTGAAGATTGGCGCACATGTGGCTGTCATATTGGATATAAATCGGGAGATATAGTTCAAACGTCCCAATAATCCTCTTACTTATTTTTTTTTTGTTTTTGGTGCGGGCATTTCCTGAATAGCTTTAACTTTACCAAGATCAACTTCAATGCCTTTCTGATTGACAATAAAGCCCAACAACTTTCCAGAACGGACACCAAAAGTGCATTTATTAGGATCAGACGGAGCTTAAACTTTCTCAAACGTTGAAACAACTTCAATAAGTATTCAATATGATATTCTTTAGTCTTCGACTTCCAAATCATATCATCCACGTAAACCTCAATTTCTTTTTGCATCATATCATGGAAAAGAGTGGTCATAGCTCTCTGGTACGTTGCACCAACATTTTTCAAACCGAAGGGCATCACTCGATAACAAAATGTTCCCCAGGGTGTAACGAATGTTGTTTTCTCCATATCCTCAGGTGCCATCTTTATTTGATTATAACCGAAAAATCCATCCATAAATGAAAAGATATTGAACTTAGCAGTATTATCTACCAGCAAACCAATGTGTGGCTGTGGAAAATCATTTTTCGGACTTGCTTTATTCAAATCTCTATAGTCAACGCACATCCAGACTTTTCCGTATTTCTTTAGAACATGCACAATATTGGCCACCCATTGAGGATACTCAGCAGTCATAAGAAAACCAACATCAATCTGCTTCTAAACCTCCTTTTTAATCTTCACAGCCATGTCAGGATGAGTTCTTCTCAATTTCTACTTCACATGTGAACATTCAGGCTTCAACGGCAAACAGTGCTCCACAATATCAGTATCAAGACCAGTCATGTGTTGATAGGACCAAGCAAACACGTCAACATATTCTTTAAGAAGCTTTGTCATCCTCTTCTTAACATCTGACCGAAGCAGTGCCCTAATCTTGACTTCTTTCTTATCATCTTCAGAACCCAAATTAACCAATTCCACCTGCTCTTCATGAGGCTGAATGGTCTTTTCCTCGTGCTCAAGCAATCGGGAAATTTCATCAGCAATTTCTTCAACATCCTCCTCTTCCGCTTCAAACACAGGGAACTCACACTTGGGAGAGGGCATAGGGTCATTATTTTCAATGTGTTTAACAATCAATCTGCACAATGATTTATATTTGATTTTAAAATATGAACAAGAAGTGCAAGTATCATGCAGATAAAAGTGATCATAACATTATTATTTTTGGTTTTTTATGTTACCATTTTTCAGGAATAAAGCAAAAACTAAAAAAAAAACAAAATATGGATAAACAAAATAACATTTTATTGATGATGATAAAAGTTGAAACAAAGCCCTCACAAAAGTATATTTATCAGGAAGCGTTTTAAAAAGTGTATTTATCATACCCATAATATGTTCCCTGGTTGGATTCATCCCTCTGCTCGTAAGAGTCTTTCTATATGATCGACGAGAATCTGTATTTAATATGTCGAGTTGTGGAACTAGGCATTAAGTTTCTCCTCTAAGTTAATAAAGGGTCGTGCCCTGGTTAGCAGTTCTTTCACACCACGAGCCTCTTTACGCCTCTACTTTTGCCTGAATGAACTATCTTGTAATAAGTGAGAACATTTGAGGCCTTCTTCATACCCTTCTATATCCATCACTACCTACGTGAAGCAAATGATATACGATTACAAACTTTATTTCTTCCCATGTGTTATCCCACTCATGTCATATATTTTGGTTGGTTGTCTCTTTTGAGCAAAGAAGTGACTGGGGAAACTCTTGCATAGATCAGTTTAAGACTCGATGCTTTCGTTCGGTAAGGCTTTGAACCAGATCTTGGTAGATCTCGTCAGAGTAAGTTCAAATAATTTGCACTTAGCTGCCTCATTGGCGTGGAAGTAGTTCAAACATTAATTGACGAGTTACACATGCTTGTTAGGATCTCCCTTCCTGTTTACTCTTTTAATTTTGGAGGTTTCTCCAACAGTTTTGATATCTAGTTGTCTAAGATAGAGATGTAAAGGGAATGCTTTTGTGGGTTCCTTACTGGAGGTTTGTCCACTTGTTCCTTGGCGAGATTATGACTGCCCCAATGTCTTATGGGACTGTGAAAAGGAGTTTGTTATCTCCTGATTCCTTAGTGGTTTGGAGATCCCGGGTCTACCTCATGTCTCAATGCAGTCAACTTTGGGACGACTGTTTTGTTTCTCTAGGAATCGGCCCCCTGAACCGTGTTTCCCTTCGGAGTAGCATTGTGTAAACTTTCTTCCAAACGAAGCAATCTTTCTTTTATCATCTGCAAGTTTTGTTTCCGAACTATGTTATACATACTGTTCAGCAATCCATTAGTCCCTTATACTCTAAATTTAACATGCAATAACTGGAAACCACACAATGCTTTCGATCTTGAGGTTGGTGGTGCTACTAGAGGTCTGATCAAAGACTCGCCTTGTTAGAGCTATGAAGCGGACCATACAATTTGATGAGGTTGAAGTAGATATGAGTGCTACAGAGTGTTGACAACAACTTCATCTACATTGCTTTGAATAGAAGAAGTAGGCGACTGATTTCTTGTTGCTTGAGTGGTGGGAGCAATGACGGCTTTCTCACATAAAGCAATGAAGCGAGTGACTTTAGATCTAACCATCATTAGAGGATTAGAGATCCAAGATTTAAAAATTCTGGAAATCAAAGTTGATATGTTATCGAAAAAGATATAGGGCAATGAATCTGAAGTTCGATTTCAAGAACTCGGGGCCGATAGGTTAAGAGAGCTTCAAATAGATAAATCGAAGTGAAAATGCAAAATCGTGAAAATGCGGGAATCAAAAGTCAATTCTCACAAACAACGTCATTGTTTTGTTATGGACCCATAATTGATTGGAGAACAAAAGTTGTGGCATGCAATACTGGATTTAATTTTCTGTTGCGGTGGAAGAAATGTTGACCTGCAATGTTAGCACTTCAACGCTCGAGTGAGTAGTGAATGAAATAAGTGAATAAAATTCAAATTTAAAATTGTGTCCTTAAAATTGACACAAATACTCTTTATATAATAAAACGACTATAACAAACCACTATTCCTTGAGCATGGGATGAATCTCCTGACCCTGAATCTCTAAATCTCTTGTACTTTTCTTCATCTTTATGGTAATTCTCATATGCTACGAATTAAGCGGATCATTACTTTTTATGGGCCACTGTGGACCCAAAATAATGTCATTGTTTTTTTTTTCCTAATTTTTTCTTCTTTATTTAATTAAGTTTTTAAGTGTCCAACCAACTCAGCTAAATTAATTTTGTAATAGAAAAGTTATTTAATTTATTTGTTTTAATAAAAAACTAATATAATAAAAGAAAGATAATAATAAAGTATCCAAATTTTTAAAATGATTTTAATACAAATAAAAAGAATATTTTTTTATTAATTATTTTAGGAAAAACCTGAATTTAATGGTTAATGGCAATGCAGGCCACACAAAAGAAAGAGTGGTGAATAAAGTGATGAAGATGAATGGGTGATGAATAAAGTAATGAACATTTCCATGGCTTCTACTCTCACTCACACTCTCTCCCTCACTCCCTCCACTTCTCGTTCATATCTCTCCCAAACCAAACACTCTTTCCGATATCCAACTATTATTAACTTACCTTCTTTCAACATTAACCACCGTGTCTTGTCCAAGTTCAAAGTCTCAGCTTCATCTTCATCTTCTTTTCAAGCTCTCATATTTGACTGCGACGGTGTCATCTTGGAATCCGAGCACTTACATCGTGAAGCTTATAACGATGCTTTTCTTCACTTCAATGTTCATTCTCCCTCCAATTCTCCTCAACCACTCAATTGGGATATTCAGTTCTACGATCAACTTCAGAACCAAATCGGTGGTGGCAAACCCAAAATGCGATGGTTCTTTTCCACTTTCTTTTTATTCTATCAACTTTGCTTCTTATTATTGTGTCATGTTATCTTATGTTTGTGACCGTGTTTTTCCTTTTTTGGGTGTTTTTAAGGTACTTTAAGGAACATGGGTGGCCTTCATCAACGTTGTTTGATATTCCTCCCGCTAATGATGAGGAACGAGCCAAGTTAATCGACACTCTTCAGGTCTTTTATGCTTTTCTTATTTTTCATTTTTCTATCAATTTAAGACATGTCATGTGTGTTTGACAGACATATCTTTAATCTGAAGTGTTAGTACTATATAACTTGGAAGCTTCTATCAAAACATAAACTGTATAATACTTTACTACCTAGGAGTTAGGACTTAAGCTTCACTATTTTGTAATCATGTTTCCCATTGCTCATAGGATAGGACTTGGATTGGAAAATATGCAGATCATTGAATCTAATAAACTTGCTTGTTCTGTTCACTATTTAGAGGGGAAAATTGGAATGTTCCTTGATTCTTTTTCAACTTATTCTGAGTGAGTAAATCAATTTTATGCACCTATGAAAGTTCGAACAGTTGTTTGCTTCTATTGACCCCGTCAATTGTTGCCTCACATGGACTATGGTGTCACAGGGAAGAATGAATGGTTAGACTTAAATGTTTGTTGCATTGGATTTCAGAAAGAAAGATATGTTAACCACTTATACATGCCTAAGTCCCATATTGGTTAAAGGGAATAACAAGTATTTATGTTTTTGATATAAAACAAGACTTAATTATCTCTTACAACTCATACCTTTCTCGGCCTTTTGGCTAAGATCAAGTGTAGTATCTGTTCTTATCAGTTTAATATCTGATATGTGGGCCAATGGTCCACACGATATTAAATTTATTTCTTGAGGGGGAGAGGCCACCACGGTAGCTTGCTATTGGGTCTCTTGTGTGTCGTCTTTGTGTTGCACTCTAGCATTGGCCTGGCACACCCTACCAATAAAGTCTGAAATATTTTAGTTTTCTTTTCATAAGTGAAAGTTTGAAGTCTTACTCTATTAGCACATAAGAATTCATCTAAGAAACACAATTTGAGTCCCCTTTTTATATGTATTAAATATTTATTTCACTTTCAATTGCATTTAATTGTGTTATGATGATGGTAATGGTATGGATCTAGTTGATTCAATATGACAGAAGGGCCTAATTATGTGATATGCACCTATGAAAGTTCAAACACCTGTGTATGCTTATGTTATGTTGCATGCATAATTGAAAGTTCAAACACCTATGAAAGTTCAATCACCTGTGTATGCTTTATGTTATGTTGCATGCATAATTGAATTACTTTGATTCTTAAATAATGAAGAACCTGTGCCAATTCATTGGTTATGTAGGATTGGAAGACAGAGAGATACAAAGATATAATCAAGTCTGGCTCCGTAAGCATTATATTTCCTCTCCAAATATTCCATAACCCTTGATTTGTGAATGTGGTAGGTATTTTTGTTAATAAGCTACTGTTAAATTACATCTACATTCTGCAGGTAAAACCTAGACCGGGAGTACTGAGATTGATGGACGAGGCCAAAGACGCCGTAAGATCATCTTGTTTACCGGTTTATTTATGTTTTTGTAATGTTATGATCTCTTGTTTTTGTTTTGTTGCACAAAGTATATACTCTACTTTTGTTCAATTTCTTTTGCAGGGGAAACTGCTAGCTGTTTGCTCTGCAGCAACTAAAAGTTCGGTTATTCTCTGTCTTGAAAACCTTATCGGAATCGTAAGCCCCCTTTCGTAAATGTTCTCTCTATTGGACGTAGGACTGTTTTTATTAATATGCGTCCATCCATGTTATTTTTTCCGTTGTAGGAGCGCTTTCAAAGCCTTGATTGCTTCCTTGCTGGTATGTTCACTCACATTTATGTTGAAACATATTTTTCATGCTTAAGAGTTTTGAACTAAAACATATTGTTTAAGCTTTCAGGTGATGACGTGAAGGAAAAGAAGCCCGATCCGTCCATATATTTGACAGCTTCCAAGGTTTTAATATGACAATACCATCATCAAGAACTTAGATATGTGGAATTGTGAGTTTTTCTATGCCAACTGACTGAATATAATTTATATATTTTGCATTGCAGAAGCTTGGTGTATCAGAGAAAAACTGCTTGGTGGTAGAGGATAGTGTTATTGGTTTACAGGTAGATCTTCTCATGTTATCGATACTCTATATAAGTGTTCAATTAATCTCTTTATATGTTGTGAGAAAGGGAAAAAAATCTATAGTCTGTGTTACAAAATTAAAGGGCAGGGAAAAGTCTTGATGTGTTGTTTGATTTATTAGTTTGCAGTAAATGAAATGTCAATTGACAAATCTTTATTTTGTTCCTTATCTTGCCAAATTGCTTTTGATAATGTTACGAATACTGATATCTTGATTTTGTTAACTGGTGAAATGCATTCAGAATCTAAGGTTTGAAGAGATGATTTTTAGACTTGGATGTTTGCTGCATTGGACTTTAGAAAGAGAAAAATAAAGTACTACTTACGAGTCACGAGTTCTTTGTCCCACATTGGTTAGAAGAGATATTAACTATTTATGTTTTTAATATAAAATAAGAGTCAATTCTGTCTTACAAATCATACCTTTCTCGGCCTTTTGGCTAAGATCAAGTGTAGTATCTGTTCTTATCAGTTTAATATCTGATATGTGGGTCATTGACTCACACGATATTAAATTTATTTTTTGAGGGGAAGAGGCCACCACAGTAGCTTGCTATTGGGTCTCTTGTGTGTTGCTTTTGTGTTGCACTATTACATCGGCCTGGCACACCCCACCAAAGAAGTACAAGGTTTTTTTTAGTTTTGCTATATAAAATATAAATTTGCAAATTTGAGCTCCACTACTGAGGGATTGATCTATTTCTCCTCCAAAATTGAAATTATATAAGATTGTATACTATGCAGCAACATTCTCCGTGTAAAAAGGGTGTCACGAATATATTAGAAGTCATAGTATACAAAAGAGGTGTCATTCATAGCAAGCTTTCAAGAGGTTTTTCTTTTATCATCGTGAAGTATGAGTTTTCCAACAACCACAACATCTAAGACTCTTGTGTTTTACTAGTAACTCTGAACCAACAAATTGAAATCCAATTTGGAAGAAAGCATATACTTGCCAGATTCTAGAAACTTGGCAAAAACAAATTTTGGGTCAAGACCCGAGAAGATGAAAGGCGAGCAAGATGTTGAGGATAGAAATTAGCATGTAGTGCTAATTGTTAGTGGGTCAGTGGGTGGTTTCATTTGCTGTTGATAAAAAACCTATTCAATCGGTCTGTCAGTTTACTTTTCTAGTATCCATGTTTGTAGGACTTGTTGCTACGTGGTGGTTTTTTCTCTTGATTCCTGTAACTGATGTAAGGCTATATAATAGCCATTACTTCTCAATAATAACATTCATCTTCTTCTTTGCTCCAAACCTTACTCTATACATGTATCTTGTTTCTTAACAAGGGAACTTATAGGTAAAAAAACTTGTTTTGAACAAGGGCGTGAATTAAGATGGCAAATGAGGTTGTGGAATGATTCATGTTTTTGTTTAAACTGATAAAGTTTTAAAAAAGGAGGGGGAGAGTTGTTTTATTTTTTATTTTGGAAGAGAATAGGAGAATACTTTTGTGTTGATAGACTAATGTAAAACTTGTATATCTTACTTGATGAATGACTCAAAATAATGCATACATGATGATCCAACTGTAACTACATTATTAGCTATGAGCTTTATATGCTTATAAAATAACAAGAAACATTTATATTTCTTCAGTCAAACTATCTATTTAAAAATCTTGAGGACTAATTTAAGTTGTAAAATACATACTTAAGAGTTCCACAACATAACAAACCAATGTTCGAATCTCGGCCAAAACAGGCTGTCATATTTAATGTCCGAAATGTGAATATATCTCTGCTATTGATGGTAGAGGATAGTGTTATTGGCTTACAGATAGATCTTCCTCATGTTATCAAAACTTTATATATGTGCTCAATTAATCTCTTTAAATGTTGTGAGAAAGGAAAATAAAAACAAAACTAACTATCTTAGCCTGTGTTAGAAAATTAGAGGCCAGGGAAAAGTCTTGATGTGCATTCATTATCTAAGGTTTGAAGAGATAATTTCTAGACTCTGATGTTTGCTGCATTAGACTTTAGAAAGAGAAAAATATAACACTACTCACGAGTTCTTTGTCCCACATTGGTTAGAATAAATAACAAGTATTTACGTTTTTGATATAAAAATAGAGTTCATTCACTCTAACAAATCATACCTTTCTCGGCCTTTTGGCTAAGATCAAGTGTAGTATCTGTTCTTATCAGTTTAATATCTGATATGTGGGTCATTGACTCACATGATATTAAATTTATTTCTTGAGGGGGAAAGTCCATCACAATAGCTTGCTATTGGGTCTCTCAAGTGTCGCCTTTGTGTTGCACTATTGCATTGGCCTGGCGCACCCCACCAATAAAGTCTAATTTTTTTTTTCATTTATGTTTTTTATTATCTGTCTTAACTGTATTTGATTATGTATATAATTTGTCTTTTCCATTTATGTTTTTTATCATCTCTCTTAACTGTATTTGATTATGTATATAGATAAAAAAATGCTCAAACTATAATGTAAATTTATAAACCCAACAGGCAGCAACAAAAGCAGGGATGTCCTGTGTGGTTACCTACACATCTTCCACGGCAGATCAGGTTAGGACCCATTCGGATTAATTTAACAACAAAATATTAACCGATTCGATGAATTTGAGTGGAAAAACTATCTGCATGATTACTTAACTAGTTGTTTTGGATTTCATGTAGGATTTCAAAGAGGCCGTAGCAATCTACCCTGACTTGAGTAACATAAGGTATAACTACCAAAAAACATTGCTGAACGCATAAATATATATATATATATATATATATATATATATATATATATATATATATATATATATATATATATATATATATATATATATATATATATATATATATATATATATATATATATATGTATATCAGTATTTTCAATTTAGACTTGGCTACTAAAATCTTATGAACGATTATGCAGCTTGAAAGATTTGGAATTACTATTTCAAGATATTGTAGCTGCTAAGTAGAAGAAAGGTTGAGGTTTATCACAAGGTTAAGATCCTATATTTTTTTTTCCGTTCTTTAATGTGTTTTTATGTATTCATTGTATGCATATGTATACATGGAGATAATGTGTAGTCAATCAATTGCAAAGTGTAATAAAATGTATAATCTATTGTTTATATTATGAATGCTTCTCTGTGATTTCATTTCACGGTTCATCAAATTGAGTGTGTGAAAGCTGAGATGATTTTATTTTTATCAATTTTCATATAATTTGTTTCTTCCCTTAAGATGCTTAAGAATGAGCGTAATCAGCAATGAACTTTATAATTAATTAGTCAAATGTTGAGAATTAATTTAACCTGCAAAATACATAATTTAACCGGATAGGTGGGGTAACTCAACTAGTATGTGCTAGTTGAGTTAAAGGGGTGTAACTTTAATGTCGCCGACTACTATGATTCTCCTTCGAGGGTGAAGTTGAGGATGGTTTTCACAACTTGTGCATCATGGAGCTTATCAGGTCTCTCTTTCTCCCAACTTATATTTTCCCTGTTTTCTTCACCCCTTTCCTCATTATTTGAAGCTCAATGTTTCTATATAATATAAAAACAAGCAAGTTTATCTTAATTTTGAGTTCCTATCAGCCTTCACCTTCTGGAAGATATGGAAAGGTCGGAATGATGTGGAGATGATATATTCTCGGTGTTTAATAATGCTACTTATGATCAAATCCAAAATTCATTGGTGAATTTAATGAAGCAAACCCTCAAAACCTTAGATCAGGTTCCAATAGAGCTGGTGTGTGGGTTCCTCCCAGCGTGGATACTGTAAAATTCAACATTGATGTTGGATGCTTTGATGGAGACAAAACAGCGTGGAGCCCGTTGGCCAGAGACCATGATAGTGAATTCAATTTTTCTGCTGCAAAACTGGAGCATATAGCAGCCTTACCTAGCTTGGCAGAGGCAATAGCACCTAGTGGGCTAAAAATCAAGGTATGGTAAGCTTACTGTTGAGTTAGACGCTGAAGTTGTTGTGCACTGTCTTTGTGACAAATTAGAGTTAGTTGAATTAGATCGTATAATTCTAGACTGTTTGGATTTGTTGCCTTGAATGATCAATACTATCTTTCTCGGCCTTTTGGTTAAGATCAAGTGTAGTATCTGTTCTTTTCAGTTTAATATATGATACGTGGGCCAATAGTCCACACAATATTAAATTTATTTTTTGAGGGAGAGTCTGCCACAATAGCTTGCTATTGGGTCTCTATAGTGTCGTCTTTGTGTTGCACTGTAGCATTGGCTCGGCGCACCCGACCAATAAAGTCTAAATTTTTTTATTTTCTTTAAATAGGTAAATACTTATTTGGATCATATCTTTTGATGATTTTATTTAAATTCATACTCATAAACTTGCTTTTGCTCTCAAATTGAGCTTACAGGTCTTCATTTTATTTCTTTTCTTGCTAAATTGCATTTCATCATGTAAGCTCATAGATTTGAGTGTTGTTGAATGACAGATAGCACATTGCACTTATGGACCAAACTTAAAGAAAATCTGACATTGCATATTATTGAATCTGCGATGGCCACAACAGCATCCTCCACGACCATCGCAACTACCATGGCCACAACAGCATCCTCCACGACCATCGCAACTACATTTTTCTGATTGAAAAGTTCTCTCTCAATAGACAGCAAAGAGCTGTAATGTTTTATAGAATGATAACTTGAACAACAATGGGGTGGTGGCGCAGTTGGCTAGCGCGTAGGTCTCATAGCTACTGAGTGATCCTGAGGTCGAGAGTTCGAGCCTCTCTCACCCCAAATTTTCATTTTCATTTGTTTTCTACTATAATTAATTTGCTGAAGGGTAGTGATTATGGATTATGCAACTCTTTTTGAGAGAACTTTATTTTCAAAGGAAAATAAAATGTTTTAGTTATTAACTAACAAATAATAATTTATATTTAAATGATTTTATATTTTTTTATCATCTATTAGTTAACAAATAATAATTTATATTTAAATGATTTTATATATTTTTTATCATCTATTAATTAACAAATAATAATTTATATTTAAATGATTTTATATTTTTTTTATCATCACAATTTCTTATTTAAATCGACTGATTTAATTCCAATTTCTACTGTAAAATAATTTTTTATATCACTTTTATTTATCCATTTGTTAGAGCATCCACATTCATTCAGATTCATTAATTTTTTTTTTATATTATTACACATTTTTTTAATATTCATACAATTTAAAAAAAAAACTTAAAAATAGTGAATACCACAATATATATACTATACATTTAATCGTTTACTATATTTTATTCTATCTCATAGCTAAAGAACGTTTTCTACTATATCTACGTTTACAAATGAAAGAAGGGTATTGTCTAACAATTATATATCAAACCCTAACAATTTTTTTTTGGAAAGTGTAAGCACTTTAAAAGGAGACCAATAATAGTGCTCTTCTGTCTCAATTATTTTTATCTATTTATTAGAAAAACATTTAATCTATTATTTTCTTTTATAACAAATAGAACGAAAACAATCAGAAGAGTTTTAAGTCTTATAAATTTAATGAAAGTGTTATCGACGACCAATGATTTTGAGAATTTTGTGTTTTCAAAAATGGAGTGGATCTCTCAAATTGGAAAATTCTTCTTCCACTTAAGAGGTGGAAAAACATTTTATAAAAATTTGAAAATACTTATGAGAATTTAGAAGTGTATTTTCGAACGCATTCTTTTCACACTAAAACACATCCTAATTGAGATTCACTTTATTTTTTTCTAAAAATTTAGTCCTAAAATGTATCTCCAGATCCACCTCATTAAGGATTTTTTTAATTTAATAATTTAATGACAAATTCAGATGTATACTTCCGAATTTGTAAGGCGAGGATTTGAAAAATACCACATTTGCATGTCAATCGCAATTCCAGAATTACATTTTTGAAAATGTCAAGAGAAAATTTTAATAAAATAGGACCTTGCATGTTCTTCTACCTCATGATCTGTTGAATTTGTAATTCCTTGTGTTGAAGTAGTGTATCTCGACATAAACAAGGATTAGTCAAATTAGCCTAATGTATTAGTGTGTCGAGTTGTTTAGTGTATCGAAGTGTCAAAGCAGGTTGCTTCACACAGAATTTCGACTTAGGCCTATTTTAATAATGTTAACTATTTTGCGCTTTTATAGATTTCGACTTTGACTTGTGGTGCAAACAAATCTAAATCTTTAAATAGGGAGAAACTCTTATTTTATACATGAACTCATCATATTTTGTAATTCACAGTTTGCAGTTGTAAGTGAAAGAACAAAATTTTCACAGTTTGCAGTTGTAAGTGAAAGAACAGAATTTTCACAGTTTGTGGACAAAGAGTTCTCTGCAGAAAATTGTTCATCTTCTTCTTCTCCAATGTTTACTTGCTTTCTTTCTTTCTTTCTAAATCTTTCATTGTCATACGTGAGTGGGAACAATCTTGCGATCAAGATTGATTGAGTGAAGTTCTACATAGATCGTGGTTGAATTTCCAACATCTGGTATCTAGAGTTCCAGTTATGATTCAAGGAAGGAAAATCGTGATGGCGATGCATCATCCAAACGGGCACTTTCCGACGAATCTTCAATTCTCAAGAAAGATAACAATGAGAATTGGTGCAAGCAGATTAAGGTGGTTTTCTGTTATCAAGATCTTTGAGATCTTGTGAAGGGAGGAGTATCACCGCTTGCAGAAAACGCGATGGATCAAGAAAAGGTTGCATTCAAAGAATTGAAGAAGAAAGATTATAAAGCTCTCTTTATAGATCCAGATAATTTTGAAAAGGTTATTGATGTAGAATCAGCGAAGGAAGCGTGGGAGATTCTTGAAAAATTGTTTGGAGGCGCAGAAAAGGTGAAAGAGGTGAGGTTACAAACTCACAAGAGAACCTATGAATTGCTTCAGATGGAAGAAAGTAAAAGTATAACAGATTTCTTCACTAGAGTTTCAAAGTTGGTGAATCAAATTAAGGTATACGGAGAAGTGTTGACATCAAGATCAGTTTTTGCAAAGATCTTGAGGTCGTTGACTCCAAAGTTCGATCACGTGGTAGTATCCATAGAAGAGTCGAAAGGCTTGCCAGTGTTAACAAAGGAAGAGCTTCAAGGGATGCTTGAGTCTCATGAACAAAGGATGGATGAAAGAGTTGCAGAAAATTAGAAGAGTGATATGGCTTTGAAGCGCAGTCAGAAAAGAAAAGGAAAGACAAAGAAAGCTGGAATGGCAACAAAGATAGAGGAAACTACAATAATTCGACTGGTCAAAATCAGCAGAAAGCAAACTGGTTAAATCAAAGAAAACCCTGGAACTAAGGCAACTAAAGAGGTGGTGTTACATGTAGAGGAAGAGATGATGGAGGAAAGTCTGACAAAATTCACATTCAGTGTTTCAATTGTCAAAAATATGGTCACTATTTTAATGAATGTCGAGAAAAGAAAAGAATCAAGAAGATCGACAGCGAAGAGTCATAGAGCAATTACCATGAAGATCGATAGCGAAGAGTCATGGAGCAATTACCATGAAGATCGACAACATATCATCTATCAACTTGGCGTAGAATCCAGTAGCACACGGTCTAAGCAAGCACATCGAAATGAGGTTCCATTATCTTCTAGAGCAGATAGCAGAAGGGAAGATGAATTTGAAACACTGTAGAACTGAGAATCAGATTATAGACATCATCATGACGAATGGAGTGATAGTCGAAGTGTTCAGAAGGCTAAGGTCTATGATGAATGTAGATAGCTTAGACACAATGAATTACGTGGTATGTTGAGTTTGTAACTCCTTGTGTCGAAGCAGTGTATCTCGACAGAAACAAGGATTAGTGTAATTATCCGATATGTTAGTATGTCGAGTTGCTTTGTGTGTCGAAATGTCAAAGCAGATTGCTTCACACAGGATTTCGACTTAAGGGTTAATTGGGTAATTGAATGGTTGTGGACGCATAGGTAGTTAG